GGTGGTGGTGGTGGTGGTGGGGGTTGTTGTTGTTGTTGTTGTTGTTGTTGTTGTTGTTGTAATTCAGACTTTGGGTAGGTTTATGAACCAAGGTCTAAACTCCGAGTATCCCCCTTCATAACTTAGTAGCACCCTATATCATCCACTGCATAAGCCCCCTTAACGAGTTAATAGCTCATGTGATGATTGAGTACTTGGACCCCTATGGAATGAAAGTTGGCGCCCATTGTGGTTCCCCAAAGCTAGGCCTCACAGACCCGCAAAATGGATGCAAAAGCTCAGAAACCCGGTTGTAGCTCCTACTGCAGGCGAAAATCAAAGCACAAAACCATTCACAGAAAACCTAAACACTACTTTAGGAGGACCCCCCCCACCCTGTAATAGTGGCATAATACGAATATAAGAGGACCCTAATATGATCCCTAGTATCCCCTATAGTCACTNNGGTGGGGGGTCCACCTAAACACTACTAATTCGCGGGCCCCTCCCTGGGTATAAATGAGATTGACAGGCTGCATGATGCATGGTCCTGTACCGCTATGCTTCAAAACACAAGTGACACAGCGTCACAAGAGAAGAGCGGAACGCCACCGATAAGACATCTCAAAAGTAGACCCCTGCTCTCTAGACACGTGGACATGAACCCTACATATCCCTGTATGGGCATTTCCAACAGTTGGGAACCCCTTTCATAAGAGTTATTAAGCATTCAGGGTTTGGTTTTGGGGGCCTCGAGTTTTCTTGGCCATCCCCATACACACCCCAAAGAACCACCTGAACAACCAACTGTTCGTAAGAGGTAAGAGCTTACATATGGGGGGGGGGGGGGGTGGNNTATGGGGGGGGGGGGGTGGTGGTTTAGTAGTAGCAGTAGTATAACGGGATTACCATATTATTGGAAATTTAGAGATCCATTCCTCCATTCGTGACTAACATCCAGAAACGGAAAAGGAACATAAATATACCTGAAATGGCACCAGGGTCCCTTTAAACGTCTAAACCCTAAACCCTCAACCCTGAACCCTTAACCAACCCTATACCCTAAACGTGAAGATTCCTCAAGTAACGGGTACTGGGCTCCTGGGATTGCGCCTGCAGGTAGTCAAGGTGCGCTTGGATTAACATCTCCGCCGAGTCCAAGTGCTCTACCAGCCCCACCAACTCTAGATCCTCTTGCGTGTTTTGTGCGGCCAAGGGATAGGGTGTATGGTTTTCGGGCTTTACATTTTAGCCCTTCTTTTCGGGTGCGTTGAGGGTTTGGGGGTCTAGGATGGCTTATAGAGGACAACTACCACTGCAGGGATTCTTATGGGACTGTACACTTTTTTGCCCTCAGGGTTTATGCAATTCTGGGGAAACAATTTTTCGGGCTTGGGAGAGAGGATTTAGGATCTTAGAGGCTAGAGCTTACGCTTTAGGGCTTAGGATTTCAGGTTGAGGGTTCGTTCAGTCTAATGGACGAACCCTCAACCCTTTGAAGGATGACGAAGTGGACACCCCCAGCCCTCCACCCGGAAATTTCTTGTTTTCCCAGTCTTACTGGTGTTTGGTGGGGAATAAAGGAGTATAATCCCTATAGACTCCTATATAATACATTCTCTTATTGCCTACTAACCTCCAGTAAGCCAAGGTACTAATTGCGTCATTTTGGAGGCTTCATCTCTGTCTGGGCTCGCGGGCTTGAGGTGTAGAAATGTTCGTCCAGAGGCTCATGGAGCTCTATTTAAGACTACATCAAAAACATTTTCAACTCCACCATTCTAGTGCCTGATTTACGGCCATTTGGGTACTACTCCCTATATAAACCATCATTTAGGGTGAGGTCGGGTGAGGCCGCTTTACGTTGCCCCGTTATATAAGGGGCAGTTATAAGACGGTAATAAACCGAAAGTACTGTGTACGGTCTGCTTCTCAGGGACTACAATAAATAGAAATAGCAGGAATTCGGATTCAATTTGGATTGGGCAATGGCTTGGCCCAGCTCCACAAGGACAGGGGAACTACATGCACAAGTCTTTGCAAAGATATCGAAACTACAGCTGCGCATGTGATATCTCATGATGTGCCTCCCGGTTTATACCAGGCAAACCCTAAACCCTAAACTCTAAACCCCAGACGTTAAACCCGGCAACCGGGGTTTAGGGGGGTTTAGGGTTTAGGGTTGAGTTTGAGCAATCTGAAAAGCTCCCATACTTGACATCGGTTAGTTAGCTACCATTATCGTACACTTGCCCTAGACCCTGGACGATCTGAAAGCCCTGGTGCAGCGTATGAACCACATCGTTCTTTGTTCATATCAAGGTACCCTGATATACCTCCCAACCATGGGATCCATGCTACCAAGGCAGAATTGCACGCCACTCTGTACACCACACTCTTGGGGTGCTGAAGGAGGGGTCCCGATTTCGGCGCACTCTCATGGTGAAGGCAGGGAGGGAACTCTCAGTAACCGAATATGGGCAAGTTTTCACACAAATTGCATGCATGTAAAACTAGCAATCGACACAGCTGAAACGGTTCCGCCTGCCACTCGTGAATCTTGCCTGGAAAGTCAATGACCTATCATTGTGATCTACTTTCCCCTACTGAGGCCTACTGTCCTACCACTTTGGGCGAGCCCACCCCACCTGAAGTTGAGGAAGGTAAATGCTACTAAGCCATAAACCCCGAACTCGACGCCAAGACGTAAACCAGCCGTACACAGGCTAAATCGCCTAAATCCCACATCCCTAAAAGCCTCCCCAACCCACCCCCAATCCCCCAAAGCCCAAACCCTTGGAGTCCTTGGAAGACACAGGGTCCAAGCGCATACTCAAAAGCCCAGCCTGCTCATGTGCTACAAGCATTTGTTTGTATTGCTTCCCCACTATTCCATATGTATATGTCTCTCTATATAATATAGAGGGAGAGAGAGAGGAGAATGTGTGTCATGGAAACATTTCTGTTGAGGGGCTTCCAAAAATTTGCGGACGGCCGTTGCATGGGACCTTTACCTTCCCTACTTTAAGGTTACAGTTGGGTCTACTGTTTATATTTATAAGGTCTAGGATCAGCAGGGACTCCCCCAACCACGAATATTGACCACCGAAAATAATGGTCATGATATTCGGGTCTTACTGTGGTCGTATACTATGCGTTGTCAACGGATGGCGGGATTACCTTGAAAAGGATATCTTTTTTGCTGCTTCTTGATGTTACACGGGGGTATATAGGGATTATATATGGGGTTATACGAAGACATACTATTTCGAGCCAGCCACAAGGAATATAAGGGACACACAATTTTGGAAATACCCATCGGGGCTTCTCAAAGCAAAGGGTATTGTAGACTTTTTCTCAGGAAATCACCCCCTAAACCCAAGTTCCCTATTAGCCACCAGTAAGATGTTTTGGTTCGGCTCCTGCAAGCGGCCTTTTTCCCGGGCAACAAGCTGGCTGCGAGTGACAGCGGCCTGACCCCATGCCAGCAATGCAAAGAATACAAATCCCGGACATCCGAAAGCACTGTTGGTACTAAGAGGGACTACAGCTACAATTATACTTGGGCTTGTTGATACTGAAATCAGTTTTAAGTACGGCTATAACTGGGCTATAGTTGCCCATGATCTCCAAATCGGATCTAAGTTCCAACTCGGCAAAGCAGAAGGAAGCTCGGGGTGGTGACGGTGATGATTGTGAAGTTGGCGGTCATACCTGGAAAGCCTTACATT